AATTATAGGAAATGCGTTTTTCTAAGGTACATAAACTTTTGGGATTGACTGTAGAGCCAATACATCCTTAATCAATAATGCTACCACGAATGAATCTGTCAGAAAATTATGACTGTCACACTGTACAGATTAATATTTAATATGAAATGTGAAAACAGTTTAGGAATATAATTGGATGATACAAAATATATGATATCGGAAGAATACTTTAAAAATGCAATACGAATTACATTTTTATGAAGCGTAAAATATACTCTAGACTTTCACTCTCAAGGTGATTTAGGCATGAAATTCTGAATAGTTGAAAAGTATCTCTGATATAAGAAGCGGCGTGATTTTTCTCAATATACTTTCTGGTAGAGGGTACTTTGAACTACGATAAAATAATTAATGACCATTGCGATATGAGAAGAAAGTTGTGGGTCGTCGAACAGGAAGAAGAATGCTAAAAGCGCGGGAATAAAATCGATATCCCTGGTAAATTCATCGAGCCGTTGAAACGCTCTCGAACGGCTCTCGCGGCGTGCACGGGGCCGTACGAGAAAATTTGCAAAGCAGATTTTCCACATTTTACTGGGCGTCTGTCGCAGTTTTCCTCCCCTTTGCCCTGTCCCCCATCTCCTTTCCCTTTTATCTTCAATCTGGCCCCTCTGATACGAGCTTTTTATCTATGTGACTTTCCACGCGCGCACCTTGCAAACACACCGGCGCGGCGCGAACGGATTCTGTCTAAAAAAAAAAGTGGAGAAAAAATAGAGCGCGCCCGTGCGTCTGTTTATCGTCGCTTTCATCTCGCGGGCTGCAGTCGAAATTTTTCTAGTTTCATAGAACTGGAATGTAGGTATCTGCGTGATGCCTCCGCTCTCGCTGTATGCATATTAATCCCGAAAGTGGGCACACGCGATTCCACAAAGGAAAACTTTTATGAAAGTCGCTTCCGAAGCCCAACTTGATACAACGTCCACCTAGCGACAGCAAGCGTGCTCTATCTCAGCGACTCAACTTTCCAATCACGTATTCCGCTTGAGGAACAGCTTGCAACGAAATCAATTGGCTCGAAAACAGGGACGAAGGTAGAAAGTCGTGGGAGAAATGAGCGAACTTCGAAAGAAAAACGGCAGCCCGAGCTGGGAATAAGAAGTAACGGAGATGGAAAAGAACGAGACAAGGGGAGGGGAGAAAAAGCAGAATAAATAGTTACAACTAAGTTCGAACGGCCTCGATTTCCTACCCCTTTTTTTCCTCCCCGAGTAAACCACTGTCGTTACGGCAATTAGAGCCGGCTGCCTCGCGTTTCCTGGTGCCAAGAGGAAAGATGTAAAAGCGGGGAGGGTGAACGATAGAAAAACGTCTATACCTTGAACAAGGTAGCCGAGCCAAGAACACAAGCAATAGAAAGAGAAACCGCGCGGCGTTTCGGAGTTGAGAGGTGGCAGGCATATCTTAGCCCCTTTTCTTCCGCCTGCACACCGAGCGTACCGTATGAAGCTCACGACGCAAATTATAATTAGCGAATGTCAGCGGCACAGAGAGCCGGCACGTAGGTAGTTAAAGTACCGACAAGGGAAGTTGAGAGCACCACCACCCAGGGAGCACCCTACCATGCATATCAGTCCTTCTCGATTTACATGCAATCTTAATCCGATGCCATCGTCTAATAGTTGCTTCATTAGCATTCATGATACCAGCTTTTTTCATAATTTCATTGATATATCAATTTAAGACGCGAGGCATAGATTGTATATAAGCGTGTAGTTTGAGGTATAATTAAAGATTAAATCTAGCTGCTCTTTGGTCACCAAATGGGAACGAAATTTTGTGAAATTCCAAGCCTTTAAGCTGATCCCGAGCGGGACCCGTTGAAGACAGTGAATTATACCGGTGCGTGGTCAGAGAATTAGCAGGGAAGTTGGAACGGGACGCGTCGCGACGCGACGGTGTCTGTTGTCCCTAACTTGCCGCAGATTGTGTTACGCTATGCTCCACGAGAGTAACCAGAATTCTGATGGGCAAGTTATCCGCCCCCAAAACTGAATTATCCTCGTAACTCGCAGCGTCATGGTAAAAGGGACGGCAGCTTATATTATACGCTTCGCATCGCTGTCGACCCGGTTATGCTTCCTCGATGTTATGTAATTGACAGAGTGATACCGCTGCCATCGAGCAATTAATGCCTCCGCAGCACGATCCCATTGTATAAAATCACTACCGTTCATGGTGACCCATAAAACGTCGATCAAACATTCGTTCTCACTGCAAGACGATCAACCCGCGTGCAAAGAATACTTGAACGAGTAATATTCTTATGTTGGATTAAGTACGATAGGGCGAACTCAATTAAGCAAAGACGATTTAGTCGCGAGACTGACACGTGTTAATTAAGAACCGACGCCGAGTCCTTGACTGGTTTCACGCCGACAGCGACGACGACGTGTCTGAAAGCCAAAGTCGAGAGTTCAAACAAGAGCATATATCCTCGAATTCGCTCGTCAGAGCGACCGCTGCCAACTTCCTTACGCTACTTCGTACTTTCGCAACGTGACAGCATCTATTTTAGCATCGTGACGTTATCCCTCTCATCGAATCGCGGGTGTTCGATGGATTTATCACCGAGCACACGTGAAATCAATGTCTAGTCTTTCCTGTCTTCAGTTAATAATGAGCTACACTTCCAGTATCCGCGGGCTCCGAACAAATATTCAAGGCACGAGAGCTTCGTTGAAGATTCAACAGCAAGTCGATTCGAGCCCCGAGAGAATTATTCAAGATTCCTCGGTACGCGTTGTTTCTCGCCCGACTGAACACCGACGAGTACACGGAATTAACGCGAGTCAAAGTGCGACGACATGATAGCGACTGCGCCACCGTCTTAGGTTCGAGGCTGACGATGAGAGACAGGGAGCGTTCTTGGGTCAATCAGTAATGTCAACATTGGCAATAATAGGACTTGCAAACAGAATCCGGCGCCTCAGGATTACAATGCGTAATCAGATCTCGGAAATCGATGGCGTTCTCTTCAGAACTCGACAGTAACGTAACACGCCTTCTTGTACTCGAAGAAGGCAAACTGCTTACCTCATCAATTATCGATCTCCTGTTAATGAACAAAGTTAGGTACTGTGAAGGTTGAACAAGCAGCGTAAAGATGGTTCCATTTCAACTGAAAGCCGTGAAGGAACAATAATTTTAATAATTGATTATAGAACTGTTATATTATTATAAAATTATTCATTCATCGAGTATAAATCTCCCGAGATTTCGAGTCCGAGTTCGGCTTGTGAAGGGTTAATGATCTTGTTCTTGTTCTAAATGTATTTTTACACGATCATCGACCCGCGAAACAAGTAATAATAGGTATAGCTGTAGTCGAACCCGATTGAAAAGTAGGGACCAGCGACCTTTAACTTCCCCGGGAGAAAGTGATAGTTGGAAGGAGACCCGTGTTTGGTCAGACAGAGGAGCGTTCTGCGTTGACGAGGGATATTTTTAAGCTCGTCCTTGCCAGAGCCACATGCATCGATTTCTTTTTACCCGGGGTATTGGGAAAATCTGAACGGATCCTTCCCAGAGCCGTAAATAGGCACGTGTATAGCGTGAAATACGTTCTCGGGATACGATCGAATGGTGAGGTAGCTACGAGAAGTCTGTTCGTACTCAAGAAAAAAGATTCACGTTGAAGCCACGAGACGACGAACACGGACGAAAGTGGACCAAGACGATTTTCTAACGGGGTCGTTAGGTAATTGTCGAAGATTCCTCGTCACGGGCGCGCCGTTACAACGGTGGTATTTCCATAAAAATCCAATTTACGATCAGTAGTCGGCAGGGAATGGTCGGAGGCGTCGCGTCGCGTCGGACGACGGGGAAAAGATTTCTGGACGAGCCTCGAGTCTCGAGACAGAAGGCGCGGCGCAACGCGACGAACTTCAACGTTTGGAAAGTAGTTCAACGCGCGCGTTAGCGCCATGTGTCGTTCGACCTCGTTCG